AAAAGTTAATTAAAAATAGCATTACTATCTTACTTTCCTTATTTTCAAATATTTTGCGCTATTGGAAGGGTTTTGACTGAAAATCGAATTTTTGAATGAATTTTAGCGCAAAGCCAATTGGAAAAGAAAGCTAAGACATTGAAGATCATTGTGTCAAAGTTTCATAATTTTCTACCAAACCAAATGCTCCAGACCTGCAAGTCAAGATAGTCTAAGTTGAAATCCCGTCAGAACATTGTGTCAAAGTTTCACTATTGTGGAAGATTGATGATTTGAAGACTTTTATGATTTTTTCTAGTTGTTGATGATATACGCTTGGAAAGCTTAGAGATCAAGCTATATATATTTCTCATATTTTTTCAGAAGTTTTTAAGAAGTGAACCCTAAAAAGTGCATGCAAGTTGGCTGACGTGTTTTCAAGTCAAAGAAGGATTCTTTCCTAATTAGAATAATTTCCTAGTTATGATTCCTTGTAATTAGCTAATTACTTTTCTTTGTAGGAAAAGTTAACTTGTACTTGTATATATATATATATATATATATATATATATAATATCAATCACAATTATTCAATCGTGTGTTTAGTTTGAGGTATAGCTATTTTTCCTTGGTTTTACTTTGCAGTCATCTGGTTAGTTACACCATAAGGACCCTTACAGAATACAAAGTGAAATGAGTTCATCTATAAATATCAACAACATTACCGTCATGATTACGTCCCATTTATTTAAAAGGCCTCACTTTGAACCTAATTTATTTGTAACAGATAGTTAATCATCCTTAAATTACTAGGCTAATTTGCTTTTTTCTTTTTCCAAGCAAATATTGATATGCCTTGGTGTAATATTTCTCACGTTTTTGTTGTGTGTGAATTTTCAACATCTTGAGTACGTACATTCCACACGGCACACAAGATGGCTACATATGCAAAGACACGTCTTCATTAAGAAATTCTGGCCCTGCCAAGGAATTTGGAGATTCTTTTTTGGACTCATTCAGGAAAATGGTGACCAGGTCTAATCACCACTACTGTAGTGGTGCCCAGTTAATTATTTTATAAATGAAGCTTTAAATTCCAAACTAATGTTGCTAGACTAAATAAGTAGAGGACAATTATTTGTAATTAATAGGAATAACCCTATAATCGAAACATTCATATTTTAATATGGTACAGTAGACGATCCTAAGTCGTCTCTAAACCAACATCAAACACAAACTTGAAATCAAATTACCGAAACATACACTGGCGGACCCAATACATGCCTACTGTGGGTAGCTGCCCACACTTAGGTGGTTTCTTCACCCATTTAGCCAATAAGAATTAGACACGAGGCTAATATTTTGCATGCAAAATTCCTACTCAGCACCCTAAATAAGTAAAACCTTCAAGGTTTTAGCTCAAAACCTCTTCTATATTGAAAATATCAAGGCCCAAGACTTAATAAACATATGGTCCAATATATAAAGCCTTAGATTTTGGCCCAAAATCATATATTAAAAATTTATTGAAATAGAGTATATGTTATAATATATATTGTATTGCTATGAAAACCTAGACTTTGTAAGAGTCAGCTATGAAATTGTTTTTTATGCCCCCAGATGGAAAAAAGTCTGGGTCCGCCACTGGAAACATATACCACATAAACAAATCGCGCTAAGATGCGAAATAACAACGAAAACTTTTGCCTCTGCTGACTTCCGTAGAAACAAATGAAGATATATAACTATATAGGCAAAATTGTAGCAATGGTCATTGGATTAAAACCAAACTTTACTTTTCGTCCCCCACCAATTTCTTCACCCACCCAAATTTCTACCCAGCCCCGAAAATGACCAATTTCTTCCCACCCATATATTTCTACTAATGAGGATGGGCCGATGGGCAAATCAACTTGAAAAGCATGAACTTTTGACCAGGAAAGCAAAAACCAGTACAAGAAACTGCGATATGGGTTTTGTTCTTCATTTCATTTCATTCTTGTTAGGTAAAGTCAGAGTCAAAGCAAAATACAAGTATGCAAAAATGCAGTTGCGCCAATTGCTCTGCTACCCAAAAAAAACATTTTTCACACTAACTGAGTCTCTTTGAAGTTTGAAGTTTGAACTAGTTTTTGTTTTTGGTCCCTCAAGTCCTAGTGGGGATACCAAGTCACAGTCGGCAATAATGTCCAATAATGTATAGCCCTACCTTTTAGTGGGGTTGCGGGCTACGGTAGAGGGTGGATGTGGGATAGGTTTGATTTGAGGGTTGGAGCTTGCAGGTGGTAGTCATGGGGGAATAAGGGAAGAAGAAATCAATTGCAACTTTCATTAGAGACTTTATCAGTACATTATTGGAGTTTAATTTTCTGGTTTAGCATTCTCAAAGTTGTATGTATTTAATTGCACATTAGTAAATTAGTATATATGAATCATGGTTATGTTGGTAAGCATGTATAGTGTATTTTATTCACCAAATTATGTCCCATTTATTTAAAAGGCCTCACTTTGAACCTAATTTATTTGTAACAGATAGTTAATCATCCTTAAATTACTAGGCTAATCGGCTTTTTTTTTTTGTTTTTTGGGGGCAAATATGCAAATATATGCATATGCCTTGGTGTAATATTTCTCACGTTTTGTTGTGTGTGTGAATTTTCAACATCTTGAGTACGTACTTTCCACACGGCACACAAATCGCGCTGAGATGCCAAATGACAACGAAACTTTTGCCTCTGCTGACTTCCTTAGAAACAAAATGATGAAGATATATAAAATATATATATATATATATAATATGAATTGAATTAAGAAGCTTCTGGGCTATTAACTCACAACCAAGTTCGTTGCAAGTTTTCAGTTGACTTGACTTCGGATCGATAAGAAATTTACAAATGAAGCTCTGTACATATTCCAAATATATACAAAATCTCATCCATGTGAATTTAGATTCGAAACCTTTTCCGACATTACCTAGAAACCTTCAGAAGAGACGAACGATGGAGTCTCAGCTGATTGTGGATCTTTCAGCATTTCATTCCGAGATAATTCTAATTATTTTGGGAAAATTTTCATTCGAAGACAAAAATTGCATTCTTGTTGGTATTTCTTAGATTTCCGTACGTAAATAATAAAGTAATGATGTGAGACATATGAATGAACAACAATATATCATCACGTTTACACATACAGTTTTACTGTAACTTAGAGGTTTAAAATGGAAATATAGGAAGCCTATGATGACAAGTTAGGTACATGGATAGATGAATCAGTATGCCCTGATAAGAGATTTCCACCATTTTATTCATTTTCATTCACATCAATATTGTTCTCCACTACTGAGTTGTTCTGCATATCATTTGCATCACGTAAACCTCCAATAGCTGTCTCATCATCAGGAGTATCCATAGCATGTACTCTGGATGTTCTTTGCGTAAAAGGATGCGAAGTGAGATCTTTCTTGTCAAAATGCTTTGCCAATTCAACCATTTTGCACCGAAATGAGTTCTCAGAATGAATCGTGGTCCTCAAAGTAGGCCATTGTGAGCAAAGGAAACGGTACATGTACATCAAAAGTGAAAACATGGAGACTACACCTGCGATGATGAAGAGTCCCCCGAAGCTGTACACATGAAGGCTTCGACCGTCTGATGAAATTTTGGCACTTTGATCATCACAGATGGTTTGGTTTCCGAAGTACTTCTCCCCAATTGAATCCATCTTAGATTTATCTTGAGTGACATTCAAGATTGCCCTTGACATGTAGGAGACTAGAGGAGACCCTCTTGGGAAGGCCTGATGTATTAGAAGGCAAAAAAACAATTTAGCACAGGGATATAGGAAATGGAACCATTGTTTGCAGTATTGTACACTCTGGTTTTTATGGATAACAATACAATCAAAGAAAATTAAGACAGAGAACTCACAAAGCCGAATCCGTCAGTTTTGTAGGTTGGTCCAACCATGGTGTACTTGGAACAACTCTTTGCAATGAAGTGTTTAAGGTAAGGGATTTCATCGAAAATTGCAGCAACTCCACCATTGTTGGTTCCATTGGATAGTGCAAGGTTATAGTCCTCAACGGTTACATAAGCTTTCAACTTGGACTCTTCAAACTTTAAATTCTCCATTAGAAACCCTTTAATAAATGAATTCTTTTGATATCCTATATTATAACCATTCCTTTGGATCTCTGTTATATTAGTAAATACAGGCTGCAATCTCTGCACTGTTAACATTGAGGCTAAACTTGCAGTGTAACTCTGTGTCAGGATAAGAACCACAAAAACCCAAATGACTAGCACTAATCTTGACAAATTGTTCACCACTTTCTCCCCTATAGCATTACAAAAGCATTATTAATTAGACCACAAGCTTCATTGAGAATTTTGAAGAAAACAAATGCTTTGGTGCAAGGAGAAGAGAACTTACTATGAGCAAAGACAAGAGTTGAAAAGGAGAACGACAATATCACGCCAAGTTGTTGTTGTGGTGGACCTCTAAACTCAGAGTTTACCCGGTGTTCAAGAACCCATATCACAAAACCTGTAAATATGAAGGCTGCCCCAGTTGTCAGCCAAAGATCCAAACTTAACGGCTTCAAGAAAATCCAAATATTGTCTCTTTCATTATTTTCCACCAAAACTACCATTGACACTCCTGACTCTGAATAGGGCAATGTAAAATCTACATACAATGAGCGGTTAGCTACAATTGTTGTATCTGCCACCACAGCATCATACTTCTGCATTTTAAATCACCAATTGAAAAGTACATTAGAGAAGGAGATAGGGAGAAAGAGAGGATGACCATTAATTTACCCCGTAAAATAAAACTTACCCCTTCTTTGATTTGGCAAAGAACATCATCATATGTCCCGTTGAAGCTTAAGAAGTCATGGGGAAGCGGAAATGGTAGTTTAGCCAGTGCAGCAAAGAAGACATCAGCAGCAAATCCCGATATACTTTTGTTTTCCATTTTTAGGAATTCATTAAAACCTTCTTTAATTGGAACTCCAATCCTCAGTTTCTTTGTTGCAGGTTGGTCTGTAGTGTCCCTGGCCAAATTGGTTGCTTGAGTCTTCTCTTTACATCAGATTTTTCTGCTTCACTATTGTCATACTTGAGCTGCCTTGACAGCCCTTTTTGTTTGTCAATCCAATATCCAATAATCCTTTCTTTATTGCCAATCACATTGAATATCTCAAAGGTTGAAGGTTCTAACTGTCTCTTGACCAACTGGAAATTCCCACTTAGGCTTTGAAATTTTGAACTTGGGATTGTTTCAAGAAGATCTTTACCCATGTTACTGGTTTCCAAGCTTGCAAGATTGACGACTCTACTTGTGTTATGCTTCATAGAGCTAGAACTTGTTGTTCCCACTTTCTCCACCGCCATTGCAAGTGCCCAAACTGTATCATATGCCCATAATCCAAAGAGGTTTAGGCCTGCTGTCATCTTGTTTGGTTGTTTCCATCTTGACTGAAAGTCTTCAAGATCTTTTGTCATTGGGATATTTGGCCTTACTCCCAACACACCTTCCATTGAATCCATGGTTGTCGAATTCACAGGATCTAAAAAAGTTGATAACCCTTCGGTGACAATCCAGGCATACCCTTCACTCATCATACCTGCCTTATTTGCTAGTATAAAGAATTTGGACCCAAGGGAGGCAGTCATATGCACCAGAAATATTCTAGTTGAATTTGAGTTTAACCTGCGAAGCTCCCTTAGAATTTCAGCATCATTAGAAGATGGAGGAATGACACTTCTGTAAGGTACTCGAGCACCAACCTCCTGTATAGCGTCCACCAGATACGGAATTAAACCGTTGCCATAATCGGTGTCTTCATAGACGAGAACAACTTCCAACCAGCTATAAGCTTCAATGACGGCAGCTATGGCTTTTACTTGAGCAGAGTCATCGAAGGCCGTCCGGACAAAAAAAGGGCTACGAGATGGAGAAAGAGAGGGACTGGTGGCAGAGAATGAAATGATGGGAACCTTAGCCTTTCTGCCAAGCTCCATCACAAACTTCGCTTCTGCTGACCTTTGAGGTCCAATGATGGCCTGCACTTTTTCTATCTTCATCATATACCCGGCTGCATGAATTCAACAGACAAATGGTGAATGAATAAAATTAATTAGCTAAGATCGAAAGGCTGAGTGTGTGTGTGTGGTGAAAAATAATTTGCTGGAAAGAAGGTAGTGTATAATCCACCTTCAGATGCTGCAGTAACAATATCATCCGCTGAATCGCGGGTGCGAAGATCAAGCCTTGTTCGATAATGAGCATGCTTAGCATAAAAATCTGAGAGTGCCATGGTCATACAGCTCTCTGCAATCGCACCAACAGAGGAATTCAAGTCAAGAACTACCCCAACTGGTATTCGTATCACCTCCTTTGCCATTGAAAGCTGGATACTCCCAAGCCCGGCCAACGAAAGAATGAAGAAGAAAGATAGAATGTCCTTCTGGTTTGTCATCATTGTTAAGCTACCTGGGTTTGTCACATGCACTCTCTCGTATATTTAAATTACTGTTTTTCTCTTTCGTTTTGCCTACTCTTTTTAGCTTTAAACCTTATGTACGATTTGTGTTCCAAGCTCATCCTTAATAGGAGTCTGAGAAAATGGGCAAGCATTTGGTCAACACTCATAAATGTTGATTCAATTTGCATCGCATATTGATAACTCGAGACAAGTCAATAGTCTCCTTCTGAGTACTATTCAAGGATGAGAAAACACCCGTTCCTAGTTTTGACAAACCCAGGTAGCTTAACAATGATGACAAACTGTACATGAATTGACTAATGTAATGTAATCGTGCACTAATTTTTGGGTAAATTACTCAAATGGTACTCAAAGTTATACCCGATTTATATTTTGGTCCCTCAATTAAATTATTTGTTCAAATGTCCATCGACTCTATATTAATTGCTCTGTTGATCTTATCGTTACATTATGTTAATGTTGCCGTCAAATGTAAGGGTAAAACCGTCCATAACTGTCCTATGTTCCCCAAATAGGTGATAAAGTGATGACACATACAGTGGCGGACCAAGACTTTTGTCCATCTGGGGGCATAAAAAACAATTTCATAGCTGACACCTACAAAGTCTAAGGTTTCATAGCAATACGATATATATTATAACACATAATCTATTTCAATAATTTTTTAATATATGATTTTGGGCCAAAATCTAAGGCTATAAAATATTGGACCACATCTTCATTAAGTCTTGGGCCTTGATATTTTCAATATAGGAGAGGTTTTGGGCTAAAATCTTGAAGGCTTTACTTATTTGGGGTGCTGAGTGGGGATTTTGCATGCAAAATATTAGCCAAGTGTCTTGGTTTTATTGGCAAAGTGTTTGGCTAGATGGGTGAAGAAAACACTTAAGTGTGGGCAGCTGCCCACAGTAGGCATGTATTGGGTCCGCCAGTGGATACATAGGTGATAAAATGGTGATAAAGTGGTGATACATAGGTTACAAAGTGATGATAAAGTGGTGATACAATTGTGATAAAATGGTGATACATAGGTCAAAAGTCTTATTTACCCCCACAAATGTAGTATGTGTTAAAATATGAAAACTATGAGAGAATATTTGTTTGTGGGAATTTTCTGTGTATTTTTCTCCTTGTAGGAGGTCATATTTATAATACAACGAAACCTAAATGGGCAAGTAAATAATAAATTCCTAAATCTATTTACAGTAGGAAATCAGGAATTAAAGTAAATCAATTACAATTATAATAGGAATTCTTGGTGTGTAAGGAAAGTAAGTCAATATCCACAAGTCACGCCAACACTCCCCCTCACATTGGTGCATAGTTGTCGCCAATGCCTAACTGATTCAGTGAATTGTGGAATGCTTTACTGGAAATCGCCTTTGTCAAAATATCCGCTAATTGATCCTCGGATTTCACAAATGGAAACTGAAACACTTTAGCCTCAAGCTTCTGTTTGATGAAGTGTCGATCCACCTCAACATG